CAGTTTCGAGATAGGTTCCGTCATTCGACGATTCCTGTTAAATTTACCGTTTATCCTTGTCTATCTTATTGTCACTTTCTCTATTTATCCATAGTTTCCGGAGTTTTAAATAATTACGAAGCAGCAGGTATTTCCGTAATGTTAATTAGGTAGACTACTTTGAAAAACATTGTTGCCGTTTTCCTAATATAGTTTGTTTTAGCAATTTATCAGTTTTTAATAACAATTAATTTTGGTTACTATTTTTTCTGTACTACTAAAGCAGCGCCAGACAATACCTCAATAGGAATGACGCCAATTTTGGATCACCTTGTAGGTATACGATCAAAGTCAGTTTTCCTTGAGTGGTTAGCAGTTGCAGTAGCATAACCCGTTCTGATAAAGGGACAAAATTTGTTACTGATCGGTTCGTCTATCCATCGACCATAATTGCCACTGCATGCCTGTGATGGTTATCAGCCCTGCCTGAGTAGTACACTGTGCCGATCGCAGTAGGACATTGTCCAGAATTTAGCTATCGAACTTACTAAGTCCTAAGATATTTATCCGGAGCCTGTTCATCTCCTGGCTGGCATTATGCAATTTTCCGGCTTCAATTAAAGTTCTCACATTTCATCTTGCTACGCGAAGTGGTGCGTTGTGCATTTTCAAGGGATTTTGCTGGATGAAGACCGACGAGGCCCTTTCTCCTCCCCGGGTTGATCTTGATTTTTGCTGCCCATGTTCACATTTTGTAGTAAGTTTTATCTTTTCATGATGAGTTTTACCAGGGATCTTAATGTGGTGGTGTCCTCTTTCCTTTTTTATTGCGGTATCACAACCGGTCTAGTCAATATGAAACTGTTGCCCGTGACTGCCTTCGTCAAAGATTTAGAAAAGTCATTATTCAATATCTTTTAGTTAGCATAGACATAGTTGCTACCCCATGTCATAATCTTGCAGCCGCCCAATGTGGGTCAGACGCTGCGGTTCAAAACATAATTTCCAATACTAAATATTTTCGCATTTCCCCAACATAAACGCAGTGTTACCTAATTCTGCAGTACAGAATTTAATTTTGGTGATACAACAGAGAAATACCCTTTGGAGGTGTCTCTTCTTTTATTGATATGTGCCGTCAGAAAAACCAAAATTGATGACGGCAGCGCTTTTATGAGACAACTTGGATACCTGGAAATAATTTGACATGCCTTGATCGCATAATTGATAAACCAACATTTTTAAAATTTCTTCCGATCTCTAACCGCCCATACGTAATAAAGCAATTTCGTAAATATCTGTTCATGATTATCTCCTTACTCTTTGCATCGGCCTGGTATCAACATAAATGGGCGATAGAGGCAAAGTTGATAACAACTGTGCGTCTTATTTAGGACACTTGTAAATATGGTCAAAGCAGACTAATCTTAATAAGATAGGTCTTCTTTGTTGTTTATTGTATGTGTTTCGAAAAAAGTGCTGTTTTATATCAGTGGAAAATAGTTAAGAAACCATGTAAGAAATCAGGGTGCAAACAGAAGGAAATCGTTGATAAGTGGCTTCTTTTCCATAGGTTGAAAGCTTGTCTACTAGTGGTACTGATTGGTTGCACAGTCGGCTCCCACGTGAGAAAAATGGTTTCAGAAGTAACAGTACTTGATGCTAATTTGCTGGAGAATACACCCCTGCGAGTACCTGGACTCAAAAAAGAGCACAAAGGGCTTGTGGAGCATTTAGTTTTGATGAATTGCTCTGGCAGCATTGATGAGGTTACTTTTTGGCAGTTTCCTAAAGTAAGTTTGCTCAATATAACACAAAAACCTAGTAACTTTTGCTATTGCAGCTAAATAAACTCACAATATGGAGAAGCCGTATAGAACACATCTCCTCTTTTCTCCCTATAACCGAGCTTGTAGTAGTAGGCTCCTACTTGCCAAATCTGGACTTTAGCTTACAAGAGAAACTGCATAAGCTTCGCGTTCTATTGCTCATGGGCAACAAGAAACTTCAAGTGGAACCCTTAATACTCAAGAATTTCAAGCATTTGCAAGCTCTTTTCATATCCGAGGCAAACTTTACCGATGATTGCGTAACAAAGAACTGGTTCAATGGAATGGAAGATCTGCAAGAATTGGCACTAAGCGACAATGGCATCCATTGCATGACTGCAGACGCTTTTAGCAACTTACAAAACTTGCGAAAGCTCGACCTGACCTACAATCATCTATCAAACATTTACGAAACAGCTTTTAAAAGGCTGACTAAACTCGAACAATTGGGCTTTTTCGAAAACGATCTGGAGGAGTTTGATTTCAAGTCTTTGGCCAGCCAGATGGGCCATTTGGAGCTTTTGGGAGTTTCCTGGAAAGTACTAAAATCCAGTGGAATATCTGCAGAAAATCTACTGAAAGTTCTACCTAATTTAAAGTTGCTATCGTTTGGACACACGGATATGCCAAGTGATTTTAAAGCTGGCGAGTTTTGTCAGATTTTGAAGCAGAATGGGGTTAGTTGTGCTATTGATAGTGTTTTTGGGATTTCAACCATTTTGGGGTATCAATAGTGAGCCAGGTGGAAGTATCCAGTATGGGGTATGGTTTTTAAAATATCTATTTTTCTGACAAATGTTTAATTATGTTCAATGATATATTAAAATGAACACTATTTTTGAGCCAACATGTATTTAATTTATTTTACTTAGAGCTAAGTTGTACACGCGGTTACGAGGATTTTCCAACAGTTCAATTGTACAAATCGCACCTTCGCTTCAACTAAAACTACCATAGTTTTGGGAGAAATACAAGCAAATAGAAAAACATAATAAATAATGCAGATTTAGTTGCCCATTTATAAAACTAGGATAAGTGAATACAAATGTTGTTTTATTACAAAATGGTGCCAAAATATTTCCATGGAAAACAATTTTGAGTCAATATCATTTTCAAAAAATTTGAGTGATTCTTTTTAATTCAATTATTTAAATCTCGTTTTTGTGCTGTGACAACGTTAAAATGAAACCGATTGAAGCATTTAAACAGTTTTTTACCACACAAATCACGATTCCCATTTACCTAGCATTCCAACAAAAAATAAGAAATTACACAAATTATGTCCAAATTTTATATAAATAAAACATTTGGCAACTTACTAACTTACAGTAGTAGTAAAAAAACTAGTAGAAAAACATACAATCGCAACTTTATAAAGACAAGTTCTATAAGTTCTAACCATTCAACTGATTATTCCTAATTCTAGTTCACATTCCGACATTCACACTATACCTGTGATATCTGATAGGTAAACTGAGTAGCTCAAAGTTTGTGACTGCCGGTCCCAAGCTCGGGCAAAAGTGGAGGGTTTTTGGGGTTAGGCCAGCTTCCCACCCGAAGAAGAAAAAAACATACAGCTCATAGAACCAAAGACACTGCCTCGGATACAGGACGGATCAGCACGAAGAAGAGCTAGGCTGTGATAAGGCAAAAACGAAAATGGAAATCTAAACGCAACATTACCTGAGTCGTTTGCTGGGATATAAGATCGCTGAATGGCAGAGATCAAGAAATCATTATGGAAATGGAAAAGCACAACGTAGACATCTGCGGGATCTCGGATACAAAACGGAACGACCAAGGAACATGTAAACTTGGTAAATACATATGGGTGATTCAAAATTGGCGTCATTCCTTCTAAGAGGTGATAGAGGCTCACTTGAGATTACGAGAACATTATAGAAACATTTTTTTTTGAAAATTTTTAGAATATATTAACAGTTTAAGATCGAATTTCAACTTTGTTATTAAGCATTACTTAGAAATGGCTCCATGTTTAATTGGCAGCATATTGGAATACTTAAGTCGACAATTTTTGGATGAAAAGTCACAGCGGCAATGATGTTTTTTGTCATTAACGGATAGTTACAGGTAGATAGCCCTTGTCAATTAAGACAATAATTTGAAGCTCCTTTCACGAATTTGCCGATATGCGTTTAGTTCTCGGGTAATGCCACAATAAGGTAGCAGAACCTGAAAGAACTCACGCCAACAAAGGCCTAGATATACTGGGGATTGGTTCCAGGAAGATAGTGGACCACAATCGATTTTCGGGATTCAGACACCGAGAAACAAGTATTGAAGATAATTGCAGCAGAGTTTTCCAAGGGCACCCAGAATATTGCACAACAACTGACACTTTCTCAGGCACCAAATAAATACGGAGGAAGG